AATGCTTTTTTAAAGTCTATAGACATAGGTGTTTTCAAATTTCACCATCATAGGAGTTATTATTTTTATCCGTTCTCCAACATTAACCATTTTTATTCACATAAAACAATGTTAGCTTTTTAAACAAGGTATGGAGCCATTAAAAATCACCACGGTTGTGGGTGGGGTTTGGATTTCTTCCTGAGTTTGCTTCTGAAACGAGTGGTGAGCATTTGGGCGGAGTCCCCTCACCTGTGGGGGTGGGTCCTGGGGTGTCGCTCCTGATGCAGGCCCCTGGAATGGCGAAGGCCATAGTTGTAAGGTGCACCCACATTACTGGAGTAACCCTAAGTGTCAGGTGCTGTCCTAGGTGCCTCACAGGTTTTATCTCCTTAAATTTTCCCAACAAATCCATGAAGTCGGTACTATCATCATCCCTTCTTACGCAGGAGGAAACAGAGGCACGTTGCACACTCAGTGGTTTCTGCATGGGGTCTGGATTCATCACCGGCACTGGGAGCTTCGGTGTCTACTCTTCCTCTTTACTGTTTAGCTTCCTTCTGTTTAGATAAGTGAGGGCCAAGGAGCTGACTGTGCAATGTGGTCTCCTGCTGGAGTGGTCTCCTGCTGGCTTCTCTGTTTAGTCTACGTGAACAGACAGAGAGGGGTCTCGTGGATGCTGGTCTGCCAGGAGTCTCTCCAGCCTGTGCAGCTTCTGTGCTTGTGGAGGGTAGATGTCAGGGGACTGGGTCGCAGAGTGACCCGGGACTTCCATTCACCCTATCAAGCCATAGACTTTTGAATGCTGTCAGCTTTCACCTTACAGAGAAAAGGAAAGGTGAAGTCATATTTTATGATTGGGGATTTTTCTTTTCTGTGTAGAAGTAGAATTCTACACTGTATCTCAAAGAAATGTAGCCATATATTTTTAGCTAAAGCATGCATTACTTTAGAAAATAATTATGTGTGACCTGACAAAAACTGTACCCAAATTTAAATACTTTTTGCATGGAAGTGTATGGCTTGATCCCTTTAGCTGTGAGGACTCACATTGATCATGCAGATTCTTAGCACATCTGTGTGCCTTCTTCAGGCCTGCTAGTGGGTTTCATGCCCAAATCAAGGCTCTTACATAAGGAAGTAAACTTGAAGAAATGTCAATGAGAAAGAGCATTCAGTTGAAGAGTTCAGGAATTCAGGCGCCTTTCACCTCTTACCAAGAGAAGAGAAAAGTAGCCCAGTCAAATGGAAAGCACTTATCATAGGCATGAGATACGTAGGAGGCATTCAACAGATGCCACTAACTGCCTCCTGTCTGCTCACAGGAGCGTCTGAATCAGGCAGGGTCAAGACAATAAATAGATTTAGCTTGGTGTGATGAGTCCGATCACTTGGTAGTGGGTGTATAGAGAGCTTCAATGAAAAGGGTCCTTAGACTGAGACCTCACTCAGTGGAAGGTGTGTAGGAATGGATTAGGACACCTGCCATGGGCAAGCAGGGGCTGAGAGGGGCGTGCAGAGTGCTTATTGAACTAGCGATACAGGATAGTAAAAATATGTATTCTGTACTAACTCCTACTAAAAGTGCACTTTCAACATTTTACAAACATTAACCCATGAATTTTACCTACCCTAGGAGATACTTCTTGTTAGGTTCATTTGCCTGATGAGAATTAAAGAGTTTAATTCTCACTGAGAATTAAAGAGCTTAAGTAACTGGTCCAAGGTTTCACGGCAGTAACTGGGGGAGCCCAGATTTGACCTCATGTCTGTCTCGTTTCAAAGTCTTGTTCTTTCTACCACTTTCTACTGGCTGCAATCAGGAGGCGGCCCTGAGGCCTCCTGAGAAGTCAAGTGCATATGACTGATGGTCTTCTTGTCCAGGGTGTCGGTGAAGGACATGGCATTTCCAGATCAGTAGAAGCTCATCTGCATATGGACATAGCGAAATCACCAGTAGAAATATGGGTTGGGGAGCAATCGGTAGATCAACTGGGCATCCAGCCTTTCCTCTAATAATATTCCAGATGGACTGTCATCTTCAAAGTGACAAACTGGAAGAATATTCAGCTAATTGAAGCATGGAGAACACCTTACTTTTACTTATCCACATCCAGATGTTTAGGCTTATTTTTTTGTTTGTTTGTTTCTTTTGGAGACAGGATCTCACTCTGTTGCCTAGGCTGCAGTGCAGTAGCACAATCATAGCTCATGACAGCCTTGAACTCCTGACTCAAGTGATCCTCCTGCCTCAGCCTCCCAAGTAGCTGGGACTATGGGCTGCACCACCATGCTTGGCTAATTAAAAAAAAAAAATTGTAGAGATGAGGTCTTGCTATTTTGTCCAGGCTGGTCTTGGACTCCTGGCCTCAAGCAATCCTCCTGCCTTGGTCTCACAATGTGCTGAGATTATAGGCCAAAGCCACCGTGCCTGGCTTCACTTGTTTTAATAAATCCTGAATTATCTGGGCTGTTGGCTCGTGATTTATTACTTTGCTAATCATGTTTTAGCATGGCCTGGTGGTAAAAGAAACATTTTAGAATCTCTCTCTCCTAATTCTTTCTTCTCATTCTGTATTAACTGAAAAATCAAGGTCTACTTTTGGCCGTGGCTGGTCTCTGAACTGCCCAACTCTGCACTAAATGTGGCTGACGGTGGGTCCAGCTTTGTTCATGAAGATCAACAAGTCACATCTGGATTCACATCCTTACCTAAGTGTAGAAAACCTCAATTATCTTGGATCTGCCTGATGTACCTCTATCTTTTGCTGTATTTTTTTCCTAAATATCTCACTCCACCATCTCACGCCTCCACGTTTCTCTTTCCTCCAAAAACTTAACAACAAAAAGATGTGCTTCTTTCCCCCGCTAACCTTCTCCACTAAAGCAAGGAGTTTACGAATTTCAGAAATATACCCTCCTTTTCTTTAATGTGATCCAATGCAAATTTTTTGAATAAGCGTGACATGCAAACGATCAGAACATTTTAAAACAGTAATGCCTTTAGAGACTGCATGTTTTAACTTCTCCTTTTCAACAAAGCCAGAGAAAGCTCGGTCTCCACACCAAATAAGGAGCATGCGTTCAGGCACACACGCGCACACCCAGGCTTCCTTCCACCCCGCCACACCCTCCTTTTTTTTTTTTTTTTTTTATTAGAAAACACTTGAAACTTATCATATGCAGCAGATGGGAGTAGAAAATGCAACTTGAAGACAGTTATATAAATATATCCTTGATGTCTGTTTTGCTTTTCAATTTGCAACGAAAAGTACAAAGGTAGACCGGCGCGCCAGTGAGGGCCGCCTGTGTCTCTTGATATCCATTCCAGATGTTGGCTAGACTTCGTGGAGCCGGGCTTATGGCACGGGGGCTGCAGCCTGGCCTCCTCCTCCAGGTGGGATGCCTCACGCTGATTCCCCACATGCTCCCAGTCTTGTCCAAACACACTAAACTCCACCACCTTTCCTGACCCTAATTTACCTTCCCTAATTCCTGGCTCTCTGGGAGGGGAGTGTCTAGAGACAGGGCCCCATCATATGTTCCTGTTCATCACCTTCCCTCTTCAAAATGAGATCCTTAAAAAGGGAAAAAGTAAATACAAAAGAAAAAAGAACCCTGATGCTGTTTGCCAATGCTGTTTGCCAGCCAGCCAGCGAGTGACGCCGGCTGCATATTCCTTTCTTTCCTTTCCGACATGGTGAGAGGCTGGAGGTCCCTTTGACCCCAAGGCCTGCCTCAGCGCTAATGGTGGCTCTGTGTTTGCACATGCTTGTAAAGGATTTCACTCTGTAATATGTTGACTTCCTGATTAAACAATGCAAAGCACAGGAGGAGGTCATAAATCCTGGAGGCGCCGACTTCATTTATCTGAATGTTGGTTACTGTCTAGTGTGGGTAAACAAATGCCAGGGGCATGTATAACCATCTAGGGGGCACCGAGGAGGGGGCCCTGCCCCCTCTTCAGAAAGAGAGGCTTGTCTGAGAGAGAACCCAAGACGCTGTCCCTCAGTTCACGCAGGGTCCCTCGGGTGGGTACTGCAGAGTGCTGGCAAGGAAGCTGGGGGAAGATTGTCTGCAAAACCAAGAGCCGCTGATGGCGCCGGGGCGATTCAGGACACCAGTGGGTGGGGTGGTGGGGACCCATCCACTCCCAGGATGGCACTGTTCTGTACAAGATTTTGTAATAGGAAAAATTTGTAAGGACACAAAAATTCCAGGGAAATTACCAGGAATGACACTCGTTGAAGGTCATGAGGCCGTTTTCTCCCTGGTAGGGTTCAGAGCAGGAAATGAACTGCACTTGGTGTCACAGTACAAATGGGCATATTCCTCTGGACGAGGGGCAGAAAACAGACGCTGGGGGACGTCTTGCTTTTCCTTCTGCTTCCTCATATCAAAAAGAGCACATCTTAATTAGATGCGTCTTTAATATTTTGAATCCTCTGTGCGTGTGATGTGTCTAAAGCTGGTGGGGGGCAGGAGGGAGGCAGCAGAGAAATACAGCAAACCATGAAGGAGGTTATAGGGAGAAGAAAAACAGAAGTCTGAATTTGGGTTTGCCGTGCTGCTTTGGAGTTCAGATTCTCAGTGATGTGTGTTCAATATAGTAACTTGAAGCTCCACCGCGATGTTGCTAGGGCATCGTGCCTTTTCCTCCCACTAGCGGTGTGTCCTTGGACATGCCACTGAATTAACTGAAACCTGATCTTTTTTTCACCTGTAAAGGAGGAAAATAGGGTACCTTGAGGTTTAAATAAAAATTTTTAATAAGTCTAGCAGAGTGCCAGAAAAGAAAGTGTTCTTACTACATTTCAGAAGTGCAGAAGTCAGCAGAAGGGTGATCTATTTAAGACGTGAAATTCTAGAGTTTCCTGTGATAAACCAGTTTTACCTGTCATTAGATTTATTTTCACAGCCCTGTTTGAAGTCTGGGCATGCGGGTAAGTGTAGAGGCAGCATTTTACACTCTGTGGGGAAGAGCGCCCTCCGGGGCTATGTTCTAAAAGGGGAGATAAGTCATGGACACATTGGCGGTCCATTTTGGCAAAATGAGCTTTGTTCTGTGGCTTCACTGTTTGGCTGAGGAAAAGGCTCCTGGGTATGAGAGAGGCTGGGCTTTGGCTGAGGAAAAGGCTCCTGGGTATGAGAGAGACACCTTGGATGTCCAGGTGGGATCAGCCACGTGTCCATGGGGAGAAACCTGGTGAGCGGGTGCTATGTCCTGCTCCCATTGCTCTGTCTGCCCCAGATTTGTTTCCTCCATTCCCCACTGCTCAAATCTGAGTCCCCCAGGATTCTAGCCCAGATGTCTCCTGTGAAATCTTCCCCAGCTCCTGGGCTAAAATCAGTCACTCCTTGCGCCTCCCCAGTCCCACATATGCCTCATTGTTTTATATTATTTTTTGTTGCACTCTTTCAATGCGCTGTCTCAGAAGACCAGGTAGTCTGGGCATGTCCCACTCTGCCCCGCATCCTGGGCGAGGGGGAGCTGTTCCCAAGAAGAGGAGGCTGTCCATGGGAAAGGGAGAGGTGAGAGGCACTTCCTGGGCTTCCTGGGCACTTTTCCACCTTGCCTCGCGGCCCCATCCAGCAACACAGCAAAGGAGGTGCTGGTACCACATTTGGGGTCAAGGGACTACGGTTTAAAGAGGTTTATTAACATGCTCAAGATCACACAAATAGTATGATGATGAAACAAGAATTTGAATCCATGTGTTTTTGATTCTATATCCCTTAACTGGGCAGGACTCTGTGGGAAAAAACCCACAGCCAGGACTTGGGGGAGCAGCTGGTCACAGCCAGGGATGTCGCTTAGAGCAGGTGGCCCTGGCATGTGGTTCCCTGCCCTGTACATCAGGGTGGTTGCAAAATCGGTTTGACGCAGCCACGGTTCAGACCGGCCAGCCTGACGGCCATCCGACAGGAGCACACAAGCGTCTGCAGCTGCGTGGCTGGGTCTGAGGACAGCCTTCCCCAGCGGCTCCCTTAGAGAGCTGGCGTGACAGCACATGCACAATGGTGCTGACGATGTACACAAAGTGACCAGAGCCAGGTGCGGTTTGGCATCTGTAATAATGCTTATTATTATTTAGCATTTGCCTGGGACCGCCGAGGAAGTGCTGCCAGGCTTCCAAAAGGACAGGAGTGAGCAATTGTCAAGGGCAGCCCCACCGTGAGGTTAGGAGACGCTGTGACTCAATTGCAGCCTGGCAACTGGTTGTCAAGGGGAAAATATTCTAGAGCTGGATCGACAAATGACTACAGCCTGTGGCCAAATCTGCCCCTCAGCCTGTTTTTGCGCAAACCATGCAAACAAACGAATACAGACAGAGACCCTGTGTGGCCTGCAGAGCCTAAATATTTACGATCTGGCTCTTTACAGAAAAGGTGTGCGGACCTCTGCTCTAGAGCACTGCTTTCTTGTTTTTCAAAGTGCCTTCCAGACGTACAGGTGTTCAGGCTGGAAGGATTCTGCAGCCAGAGTTTGGGAAATGTTGGGGTAAGAAAAGTTAACCAGAGAACTGCACTGCCGGCCCTGAAGAGCCTTGACATCCCCAAGTTCATTTGGCCTAGGCTTTTTCTCCATGGATCACCTTGAGGACAAATGTTCCAAGAACTGTACTTTAAGAGATGCGGATGTAAAATTTTAATACAAAGGTATCTCCGCCAGTTAAATCATAAAGGAACAAAGCACCAGAGGAAGCCACAACTTACAGAGATTCAGCTTTTGAAGACCCCAGTTCTGTCTGGGAGGTATGACACAGGGAAGGACAGAGGAAACTTGAGCCATCCCAACTGATATTCACTCCTGTGCAAGAGTTAGCTCTTTAATTTGGCACAACAGTGGAAACGTTAAAATGGGAAAATTGTATTATCCCAATCAAGTGCCTCAAAATGCTGTCTGTAGCAGTGACTGACTTCTAGAAGGCCTGGCCATCGCTCCCTCCTCTCCCTGTCAGTCCTTTAGGTTCACCCTGGGCCACGTGATGTTTGTGCAGAAGAAATTCTTAGCAGACTGGAGTATAAGTCAGGCCAAGCTGAACTGTTTGTTGAGCTCTGAGGCCTCTGACAAGCCTCAGTTAATTATTCAGTGATGAGCCCTTGATAGGCCAGATCTGGCTGAGGTAGACAAAGTCTAGCCAGGCTCAAACCAGGATTGTAGCAGGACTCAACTTGCCTTTATTCGAATTCAGACATTTTCTGGTACCTAATCTTGTGCTAGGCATTGTGCTAAGAGTTGGGGGATACACACATAAATGGGGAAATTCTTTTGCCCTCTAGAAACTCGGCATTGTGCTAAGAGTTGGAGGATACACATACAAATGGGGAAATTCTTTTGCCCTCTAGAAACTCACAGTTGATTCATAGATTCCATAAATATTTATGAGTCACCAACTCTGTGCTAGGCAGGAAGACATCAGAGAGCTGATCCTGGGTTTTATGGTGCTCACAGTGGAGCAGAGAACTTGGGCATCCAGCGAGTAACTGGAAGTACAGGCAGCAGAGTCCCAGAGTGTTCAAAGAAACCCACAGTCCCTGCTCCCTTGGAGGTCACAGTTCCGTGGGGCAGACAGACATATGGGTTAAAAGTCCAGTGTCGTGTGGTGTTTGTGAGCAAGGATAAAGATTACCATGGGCTCACAGGAGCCAGCGATGCTAATTTTGCATGGGAGGGGAGGGGAGGAACGCTAGCTGGAGGAGACACTGGTAAGAGGGGAGTAAGGCACCCACAAATCAGAACAGCGGCCAGGGCATTCCAGGCAGAGGAAATACGCTCCTCCTGAGCGGAGGAACAGAGAAGAGCACGGAGAGTGAGAGGAAGGGCATGCAGGGTGACCCTGCATGGGAGCCGTGAGGCTGGGAAGGCCCCTGACGGCCAAGTGAGGAGCTTGTTTCCTGATGAAGTCCAATAGATTGTATGTGCTTCCTGCCAATTATTCAGATGGGTTGAGCTCTCTAGATCAGCTGTCTCATGATGGGGTAGTTTCCCAAGAACAGGCTTGGGTAAGTTACTCCCGTGAAAGTGTTAGGCATTGTGCAATTTCATAACATGCCCTTTGAGGAGATAAAAGTGACCTTGAGCGCTGGGATCTACAGGGTTTGTGCCACCAAAGCAACCTGAATGACAGAACATTTCAAAATTCACTTCTTTTTCATCTTATCAGCATCACAATGATCAAGTCAGCTGGTCCCTCAAAAATTTAGAATGTGCCTTTATAAAATGACACAGATAAGAATTTGCTGATGAAATTATAATTCAGTTCTCATAAAAACATGCTGGGTCAAACACGTAGTCTTTGTTCCAAAGCCTCCCTCTTTCAGTGAAGAAACACTCAGTGGGTTCTGTTGATGTTACTCTGCCCTTTTTGTCAAAGTACCATGTTACACAAATTCATCTTTTTAAAGAGTGAACATTTAAGTGAGTTTTACCTAAGTACTAGGTTGTTGCAAAAAACTGCAATTACTTCTGCACCACCCTAATATTTTTGCAAGATCCTATTAGTTCAGTGGGGCATGCTCAGGTGGCCCACGGTGTAGCTGGGTGTCCAGAGCCCTGGGTCTGGCTCTGCCATTCACCAGCCACGTTGCTTGGGGAAAGTTTCATACCTTCTTTGATTGTAATGATTTTAAAAATCAAAGGGAACTTGAAAACAATTTGGTCTTCTCTCCTGATCTCATGGATAAGGGCCCATCTGACTGAAGAGACTGAGACAAGATCTCTGTGCTAGTTACACCAAAACCCAGCTTAGAAATGAGTTCTTGGAGTCTTACTCCATGGTGGTTTCTCTTACTCCGTTCTGCCTAATTTGTCTCAGTTTCCTCATCTGTAAAAGGAGGACAAGAATTCCTGCCCTGCCTTCTGCACTGGTTTATGGTGCAGATGACACAAGACGAAATGTGCAGAAGCACACTGGGACTGGGCTTGCCTGCACCTGTGCATGTAACAGAGCCAATGCCACCCTTGGACGGACAGGTGACGGGTCTCATCCTTCATGTCCTTCTTCACCCTTTCCTGCTTTTCACCCCTCACTTATAATAGAAACCTATACATTACGGTAAAAATGATATCTTAGCAATTTAGGAATTTCAGACAAGATATTTATTTCTTGAACACCTACTATGTGTCAGCCTCTTTTTTAGATGCTTTACCATTCAGAAGAAAAGTAGGGTGGGGGGTGGGGGATGAGGATTAACATATATTATGTGGATGGAATTTGTGTTTGTGTGTGTGTGTATTTTGTCACATGACTTATTTCATAGAATCACCCCAGGTTAGGCATTCTTATTGCTAACTTATAGGTTAGAATTTCTTCATCTCAGCATTATTGACAACTTTTACTAAATTATTCTCTGTGGCAGGTACTGTCCTGTGCACAGTAGGATGTTTAGCAGAATCTCTGACCCCCACCCACCAGGTACCAGGAACCCTTCCACTCCAGTTAGGACAACTAACAGTGTCTGTAGACATTGCCAATGTTCCTTTCAGGGAAAACTCACCACTGGTTGAGAACTAATACCATACATGACATGCTCTTATTTTTTATATGATTCTATATCATATTCTATTTAATTTAGAAAAGCTGATTGCTACCTACTAAATTGATTTCCTGACCCACTAACAGATCTTGGTTTGTCATTTGAAAAATACTATTATGGGATTGTGAGATTAGTGGGACGTTTTTTAAAGAAGGGAAATGGATGACATGATTTCCAGAGGCAGTGTGTGGCAGGTACTTTATAGTAATGAGCAAATCAGCATGACAAATTTTAAAATAAAAATACATTACTCTGAAGGCTATTTTTCGAGGGGATTTAGTTTTTCCAAATACAAAGACAGTAGGCTGTTTGGGAGACCTAGTAAATTGTTCAGAGGTGAATTATTCAGCTGAATATTTGGGGAGGGGCCCATACAGCTGGCAGGAATGTGCAGCGTCCTCCCCAGGGTCCTCCCCAGGGTCCTCCCCTGCCTCCCTGAAGAACTGGAATGCAGGTGCCTTCAGGATCTGAGAATGGGAAAGGGTGAAAGGATTTTTTCAATGAAGGATTTATTTGCAAACACAATCCAGAAAAAAAAAGAGAAATGATTTTATCAAAAAGTAAAACAAGTAAATGTCACCAGAAAAAGCTATGAACAGTAGGTTTTTCTCTTCTCCTTAAAGGGAGTGCAGAATTGTACACAATTTTATTAGAACTCTGAGTCTAAGGGCATGCTTGGCATTGGTGCTAAATTACTGTGTCTTCCTCAGCGCTTTCACTGTTTAGATAACAGTGTAAACTGGGTCCCACCATAAGCAACTGGGTCATTGGTTTGGAGTCAGATGGGTCAGAGTTCGAGTCCAGGTTCTGCCTACTTGGTATGGAACCTTGGACAAATGATGTTGGTCCTCTAAGATTCATTTTTAAAAAATCTTTGAAATAGAAATGACAATATCTGTCTCAAAGCCAGTGTTGTATTAAAAGAAATAAACAGCTCAGTGCCTGGTATTTAGTAAGTATTCAGTAAGTGTCATAAACACAACTATCATTACCCAGGGTAGCAGTGATATTATACAGAATCCTAGGCACTGCATACCCTCTGGGACTGGGCTTGTGTGCACCTGTACATGTGAAAGAGCAAATGCCACCCTCGGACACAGACAGGCGATGAGTCTCATCCTTCATGTCCTTCTCCACCCATTCCTGCTTTTCATCCTTCACTTATAATAGAAACCTACACATTATGGTAAAAATGACACATTAACAATTTATGTAGTATGCTGTGATTCGCTGTTTCTTGGTAGAGGGTGAGCTATAAGGAGCCCCATTGTGCATTGGGAATCCAATGAGATCTGCTCAGAAACAGCAACTGATGACCAGAAATGAGTGACACCCTGACGGTGGGAAGCTTCCAAGTCTCAGGAAAGGACCTCGTGAATCCCCTCTGCCTCCCATTCCAGCTGCATCATAGGGAGAGA